GTGGAGGCAGAGCTGAGCTGAAAAGTGGGGTGGGGCTCCCCAAGAACAGGCTGTTACAGCACCCTGGTGGGGTGCACAGCTGCAGTGCTGGCTCAAGATGCCCTCATACTCAGATCTTTTTTTGAGACAGAGTTTAACTCTTTTCACCCAGACTGGAGTGCAATGGCGCCATCTCAACTTACTGCAACCTCTGCCTCCCAGGTCCAAGTGATTCTCCTGCCTGAGCCTCCCACATAACTGGGATTACAGGCATGCATCATCACGCCAGGCTAATTTTTGTATTTTTAGTAGAGACAGGGCTTCACCTTGCTGTCCAGGCTGGGCTCAAACTCTTGACCTGAGTTGATTCACCTGCCAAAGTCCTGGGATTACAGGCGTGAGCCACAGCCCTGGTCCAACTCAGATCCTGAACTATTCGTGAGCGCTCTGCGTGGGCCACATCCTAGGGCAAGCGTTTTCTCACCCTGGCCTCAAGAAGATGGAACAGGGGTAAGACCTGAGACGTGTGTAGACCTTCAGGGTTTCTCAGTCTGTCAGTCGATCTTGTGATTGATGAACAAGTCTCTGCCCCTCTCGAAGCCTCAGTTGTTTTTTTTTTTTTGAGACGGAGTTTCGCTCTTGTTACCCAGGCTGGAGTGCAATGGCGCGATCTCGGCTCACCGCAACCTCCGCCTCCTGGGTTCAGGCAATTCTCCTGCCTCAGCCTCCTGAGTAGCTGGGATTACAGGCACGCACCACCGTGCCCAGCTAATTTTTGTATTTTTAGTAGAGACGGGGTTTCACCATGTTGACCAGCATGGTCTGAAGCCTCAGTTTTTTAATCTACAAAATGGGGCTACATGAGGAGTCAATGAGGTAGGAGTGTGAAGCTGCTGGCACAAAGCCCCACACATGGTAACCTTAACCAGTGCCAACTGGATGGTAGATGGTGCCCTTGTGCCCAGCAAGTCTTTCCCCTTAGCAGGTTATAGCACCTCATCTCCTGAACGGCCTTCCATGCCCATGGGCATGAGGCTTTGCCATGTAACTTGCTCTGGCCAATGAAATGTGAGCAGAAGTGACCACACATCAGTGGCCAGTAGAAGCTTTAAAAGCTACACCTGCAGTCCTAGCTACTTGGGAGGCTGAGGTGGGAGGATCGCCTGAGTTCAGGAGTTCGAGGCTGCAGTGAGCTATGATTGTTCCACACTCCAGCCTGGGTGACAGAGTAAGATCCTATCTCAAAAAAAAAAAAAAAAAAAAAAGAGATTTGACCCAGACATGTACAGAAGAAAGATGACGTAGAGACTGGGGAGAGAAATCATTCGTCCATAAACCAACGTGGGAGGCTTGGAACAGATCCTTCCCTGCGGCCCTTATAAGGAACCAGCCGGCTGACACCTTGATGTTGGATTTCCAGCCTCCCAAACTGTGAAACAGCGTGTCTCTGGTGCTTCAGCCACCCAGACTTTGTGCCCGCAGCCCCAGCAAGTGAATACACCGCATTTCACAGGGCCAGGCAGATAGGACTTGCTCTCTAAGAGAATTCGCCTACTTGCAAGCAGAAAGGGGAGGGAAAGAGAAAATCCAGAAGTGTTGGATTTGCAGGATTGAAGAAGGCAGCTGTTCCTCATCTCTGTCCAATGAAAGAGCAACTAAGTGAGTGCTCCCAGCGCCCAGCGCCCAGAGCCCGTGGGAGGACGCAGACACTGTCAAGGGCAGGAGGCCACCTGTGCCGCAGGAGGCTGAGCTTGGGTGCTGTGCCCCCAGCTGAAAGAAGGTCGGGGTGAGCCAGGGAAGCTGGGCTTGGGCACAAACCACTTTTCCCCCGGTTGGAAAAGGTGCGATCCAGTTCTCCGCTCCACCCTGCCGGTTCCTCACCCAGACAACCTAGAGTAAGCACCCAGGGCCATTTTTAGAAAATCCTGTTCTTTTGCATAATAAGTGGGCAAAACACACACAGTCCCTGCCCCTCTGGCAGTTCATGGTTTCTGCGAGACTCAAGTGCCAAATGACATTTTAGAAAAAAATTCTGACATATTTGCGCTTGGAACACATGATATGATCTTGGAGCAGATAAGAGTTTTAAATTTAACTTTGTCCCCGAAATGTATTGTTCCAGAAGTCTAATTGTGAATTTTAAACTTTCTTTTTTCTTATTTGAGACAGGGTCTTACTATGTTGCCCAGGCTGGAGTGCAGTGACATAATCACAGCTCACTGCAGCCTCCTGGGCTCAAGCGATCCTCCTTCCTCAGCCTCCTAAGTAGCTGGGACCACAGACACATGCCATCACACCCAGCTAATTATGAATTTTAAATTGTAAAGAGTAAATACTCTGTAAAGACTCTTCAAAATGGGCACTCTACAAAAAGTCAATAGAGAATATTCTAGGTTTAAGAAAAAATTAAGAAACACTGTGTGCGATACAGCCCAGGGAAGACTCAGTCATGGGATAAAGATGCTGAGGGTGTGGCCATCACGCCCTTTGCTGAAACCTCAGAAAAGCTCACAGGCCTGCAGTTTCGCCTAGAAAGCCATGTCTAGAAGAAAGTTGGGTGTGTCTTTTTTTTTTTTTTTTTTTTTTTGAGACGAAGTTTCACTCTTGTTGCCCAGGCTGGAGTGCAGTGGCGTGATCCCATCTCACAGCAACGTCCACCTCCCGGGTTCAAGTGATTCTCCTGCCTCAGCCTCCCAAGTAGCTGGGATTACAGGCATGCGCCACCACACCCGGCCAATTTTGTATTTTTCAGTAGAGAGTGGGTTTCTCTGTCTCAAACTCCCGACATCAGGTGATCTACCCGCCTTGGCTTCCCAAAGTGCTGGGATTACAGACGTCAGCCACCGCGCCCACCCTTGGGTGTGTCTTTAGCATAAGGAGCTGAGTGACAATTGGGTGAAAGTTACACAGTTCTGAAGAGGGTGGCACTGACTGCAGGGCTGTTGGCTGGACTGAAAGATGCTGTGACCATTACCTCTGGGTGCCACAGGGAAGCAGCCCTAGGGAGCTGCTCAGCCCCCAGGGAGACCCTCTTCTCCAGGGTCCTGATCCCATGTGGCCAAGGAGGTGCTAGAAAAGGAGCCTCCCAGAGGACAGCCCGGGGCAGGAGAACAGGGCCGTCGGGAATAATTTCCAGAGTCCCACGGGGTCTGCTTGAAGGGTTTCTTCCCCGGGGCAGATAGCACTTGCCGAATCCACCTAGCAGGACTCAGAACTGATGAGGACCAGCACTTGCTACTGCTCTTCTCCTCCCCTTTCTTCTTATTGTTTTGTTTTTTTTTGAGATGGAGTCTTGCCCTGTTGCCCAGGCTGGAGTGCAGTGGTGCGATCTCAGCTCACTGCAGCCTCTGCCTCCTTGGGTTCAAGCAATTCTCCTGCCTTAGCCTCCCAAGTAGCTGGGATTACAAGTGCCTGCCATTACGTCAGGCTAACTTTTGTTTTTTAGTAGAGATGGGGTTTTACCATGTTGGCCAGGCTGGTCTTGAACACCTGACCTCAGGTGATCCACCTACCTTGGCCTCCCAAAGTGCTGGGATTACAGGTGTGAGTCATTGTGCTCGGCCCTTTTTTAATTTTTAAGACAGAGTTTAGCTCTGTCGCCCAGGCTGGAATGCAGTGGCATGATGACAGTTCACTGTAGCCTCAATCTCCCAGCTCAAGTGATCCTCCTGCCTCAGCCTCCTGAGTAGCTGGGACTACAGGCTTGCACTACCAAGGCTGGCTAATTTTTGCATTGTTTTGTAGAGATGGGGTTTGCCCAGGCTGGTCTTGAACTCCTGGGCTCAAGCGACCCTCCCACCTTGGCCTCCCCCAATGCTGGGATTGCAGGTGTGTGCCACTATACCACCTCCATTCTTCTTCTTCCTTTTCTTTCTTTCTGTGGGTTTTTTTCCTCTCATTCTTTCACCCAAGCTGGAGTACAGTGGTTCAATCTCGTCTCACTGCAGCCTCCACTTTCTGGATTCAAGCAGTTCTCCTGCCTCAGCCTCCCTAGTAGCTGGGATTACAGGTACACGCCACCATGCCTGGCTAATTTTTGTATGTTTAGTAGAGATCGGTTTCGCCATGTTGGCCAGGCTAGTCTTGAACTCCTGATGTCAAGTGATCCACCCACCTCAGCCTCCTAAAGTGCTGGGATTACAGGCGTGAGCCACCGTGCCTGGCCTTGTTCTCCTTTCTAAAGGAGAGTGTTGTGGGCCATTCTGTTCCTGTTCCACCATTGTATGTTGAGTGTGTGTATAAGTTTGCTAGGGCCACCATTATGAGATACCACTTGCTGGGTGGCTTCCACAGTAAAAAGTTATGTTCTCAAAGCTCTCGAGGCTGGAAGTCCAAGAACAAGGTGGCAGCGGGGTTGGTTTCTTCCAAGGCCTCCCTCCTTGGCTCACCTGTGTCCTCATGTGGCCTCCTTCTTGTGCCAACTGCCTGACGTCTCAGTCTGTGAGTCCAAATTTTCCTCTTATAAGGACACTGGTCATACAGGATTAAGGCCCACACTGACGGCTTCATTTGAACTAATTACCATTTAATGATCTTACCTCCAACTGGGCGCAGTGGCTCATGCCTATAATCCCAGTGCTTTGGGAGACTGAGGAGGGCAGATCCTTTGAGGTCAGAAGTTCAAGACTAGCCTGGCCAACATAGTGAGACTCCCTCTCCACTAAAAATACAAAAAAAGAGCCTAGCTCATGCTAAAAATTTTCAAAAAATTTTGAGGATCATTTGAGATCAGAAGTTCAAGACCAACCTGGCCAACATGGTGAAATCTGGTTTCTACTAAAACACAAAAAAAGTACCCCTCGTTAAAACATTAGCGTGAGACACCATGCCTCTAATCCTAGCTACTAGGGAGGCTGAGGCACAAGAATCATTTGAGGCCGGGAGACAGAGGTTGCAGTGAGCCGAGATCACACCATGCACCATGGCACTCCAGCCTGAGGGACAGAGTGAAACTCCATCTCAAAAAAAACAAGATCTTATCTCCAAATATGTGACTTTGTAAAGTACTGGAGGTGGGGGCTTCAACATACGAATTTGGGAGGGAAACAATTCAACCCGTAAGTGTGTGAGACCAGAAAATTCCTCCCCACCCCATTTACACATCTCCTATGGAGAAAGCATTGGCAGGGGACCGTCGCTGGGTTGTGTTTCACTGGTGGCTGGACTGGAAGGGCCACAAAGGCTCACTTCATGTGAGTGGCACCTCAGGGCTCTTCCACAGGCCCTTCTCTCCATGCAGCTCTCTTGGGCTTCCTCACAGCATGGCGGGTGGTTTTCTCATGGTGGCTGGCTTCCCAGAGGAAGCACTTCAAGCTGGGAGAGAGCAGATGCCTCAAATCTCTGCAGCCTCAGTCCTCGGAAATCACGAAGCATTGCTTCTGCTGCATCCTGTTGATGAAAGCCAGTGCTGGAGTCGGCCCAGATCCAAGGGGAGGAGGAAGAAACTCCATGTCTTGCTGGGAATCTGCAGCCATCTTCAATCCACCACGCCCACACAAGAGAGGGGAGTGACATTTGCTACCAAGGTGGTGAATGGTAACAGACTGGTCACTGCTTCCAGTTATTCGCAGTCCTCCTAGTGAGAGGATTATCCATCCTGCTCCATTGCTACGTGACCTGCAGGGCCTCCAGTGCTGGGTACAATTCCCCTCCCCACCAAATCAGGTTTGGCCACGTGACTTGCTTTAGCCAAGTCCTAGCAGGTCATTCAAAGGAGAAGCTTGAAGAGCCATCACGTGGGTTAGCCATCCTGCCGGCACTTTACCCTTTGAAGAGAGCTGTGTTTTCTAGAGGGGGGACTCAGACAAGCCTCCCGGTTCCACACAATACAAATCTAATTGGTAAGACTTCTGTCCATCTTAAGGGACCTTTTATGTTTAAATCTCTCCATTCTCAAATATTCAAAACCCTTAAATTCATTTAATTTCCAAAAGTAACACCTGGCAAGTGTAGTATCTCAAGGCACCACCCATTCCTTCTTAATCCACAGAACTCCCTGAGGGTGGGGGACCTAGAGCCTAGAAATAGTGAGTGTCTGGGGTGGCCAGGCTCTCTGCAGGTATGCGCACATTGTGGGCCAGATCTCAGCCCTGCATGGAGTCCTGAGCTTAGGACTCCTCCTGGCTCTGTTCTGGGAACATTGTGGCTCAGAGAGGTTAAGTGAGCTGCCCAAGGTCACTCAGGTAGTAGGTGGCAGGGCCAAGATTGGACTCCAGGGCCGCCTTGCTCCAAAGTTCTTAACCACCAGACTCTCTGGCTCTTACCCTGTATGTGGGCTACAGATATTTTATTTTATTCATTTCTTTATTTTTGAGATGGAGTCTTGCTCTGCCTCTCAGCTGGAGTGCAGTGGTGCGATCTCGGCTCACTGCAACCTCTGCCGCCCGGGTTCAAGTGATTCCCCTGCCTCAGCCTCCCGAGTAGTTGGGCCTATAGGCCCCCATTACCACACCCTGCTAATTTTTTGTATTTTAGTAGAGAAGGGGTTTAACCATGTTGGCCAGGATGATCTCGATCTCTTGACCTCGTGATCCACCCACCTCGGCCTCCCAAAGTGCTGGGATTACAGGTGTGAGCCACCGCGCCCGGCCCTATTATGTTATTTTATTTTACATTTTGAGACAGGGTCTCTGTCTGTTGTCCGGGCTGAAGTGCTGTGGTGCAATCATGGCTCACTGTAGCCTTGACCTCCTTGGGCTCAGGTGATCCTCCCACCTCAGCCTCTGAAGCAGCTGGGACCACATGTGCATGCTACCACACCCTGCTCATTTTTGTATGTTTTGTAGTGATGAGCTTTTGCCATCTTGCCTAGGCTGGTCTCAAACTGCTGGGCTGAATTGACCTGCCCACCTCGGCCTCCCAAAGTGCTGGGATTACAGGCGTGAGCCACTGAGCTGGCCCCAGGTATTTGTTAACCAGACAAGTAAACTACCCAATGGTTCCTTTGGAAACCTGAAAGGTTTTGAATGCAGTGGCAGAGGTGTTCCAATCTCAAGGATTGACTAAAAGTTATAGGAACTTGGGGTGGGGTAGGATACACTCAATGGGGTCCACTTACTCTCTCTCTTTTTTTATTTTTTATTTTTATTTGATACGGAGTCTTACTCTGTAGCCCAGGCTGGAGTGCAGTGGCATGATCTTGGCTCACTGCAACCTCCACCTCCTAGGTCCGGATTCGAGCAATTCTCTGGCCTCAGCCTCCCAAGTAACTAGGATTACAGGCCTGCGCCATTATGCCCAGATAATTTTTTTTTTTTTTTTTTTTTGGTCTTTTTAGTAGAAACAGGGTTTCACCATGTTGGCCAGGCCTGTCTTGAAATCCTGACTTGGTGATCCGCCTGCCTCGGCCTTGCAAAAGGTTGGGATTACAGGCGTGAGCCATTGCACCTGGCCGGGGTCCACTCTCTCCCCAACGCTTCTTCCTCTGCGCTCAGAGGAGAATCGGCTGTTTGTAATGCAGAATCTGGAGAATGTGTAAAAATGATAGTGACACTGACATTTACTGAGAGATTGCTGTGCCCAGCCCCAGCCCCAGCGCCTTCCCTAATTTCACTCCTTTACCTCTTCTCAGGGCTGTGGTGGTGTTAGAGACCATCGCGATTCCCATTTCACTAATGAGAAAACTGAGGCACTCAGTGGGCTGAGTCCATGCTTCCCAAACTATCTGAGATGGAGGAATTCAGAAAAAATTTTCCAATCTGCCAGGAATGATATTTTTATAATACACACAGTCACAATGGGAAGTAGGCAGTGTCAAATTGCTATGAAAGTTGCTAAATGCTTATTCTCAGTTCTATACTTAGTGAGTCATGTCCGCAAACAGTGCGTGGCCCAGCACGGCCCAGACCATGCACTGGGTAGCGCGGGGTGAAGTCACAGCGTGTGACTGGTGGGGCTGGGATTTGGACCCAGAGGGTCTCGCTCCAGAGCATGGGCTCTGAACCACTCACCGGAGGGGCACAGATCATGAGGAGGGACGAGGAAGGGTCTGCCCACTGAGTAGATTATATAACAAATCTCCCAGGGCGAAGGGAGAGAACGCAGGCTGGTGTCAGGACTGTTCCGGAGCCTCGGGCATGCGCAAAACGGCAGCGTGTCTACAGAGAGAAGGACCAAGGAACCAGGCGCTGGTGAGAGCCATTGCTGTGGGCTTTGAATTAGGCCCCTTTGACGTTCCTTGGGAGTCACAAGGACATTCAGAACGTTCATTTAAATGACTTGTGACTGCTGGATTATCAGGTCCCAGGAGGCAGAGACTGAGCTATGTGGAAGCCCAGCTTTTATTTGGGTTACACTCGCACTAGTTTGGGTTTCCACGCATCAATTTCCACTCCCAAATAAGTTATTTATGCTTATTTTATTACCTTTTTTTTCTTTTGAGACAGAGTCTCACTCTGTTGCCCAGGCTGGAGTGCAGTGGCACGATCTCAGCTCACTGCCACCTCGACCTCCCAGGTTCAAGCGATTTTCCTGCCTCAGCCTCCCGAGTAGCTGATTACCACGCTTGGCTAATTTTGGTATTTTTAGTAGAGACAGGGTTTCACCATGTTGGCCAGGCTGGTCTCGAACTCCTGGTCTCAGGTGATCTGCCCACTTCGGCCTCCCAAAGTGCTGGGATTACAGGTGTGAGCCACCGAGCCCAGCCTGTTTTATTTTTTTGAGACAGGATCTCACTGTGTCACCCAGGCCGGAGTGCAATTGCATGATCTCGGCTCACTGCAGCTTCGACTTCCCCAGCTCAGGCAGTCCTCCCAGCTCAGCCTCCTGAGTAGCTGTGACTACAGGCACACACCACCACCCTCGGCTATTTTTTTTTTTTTTGGTATTTTTAGTAGAGACAAGGTCTCACCTTGTTGCCCAGGTTGGTCTCAACTCCTGGGCTCAAGTGATCCACCTGCCTCAGCCTCCCAAAGTGTTGGAATTACAGGTGTGAGTCACTGTGCCCAGTCCACTCCCAGAGTATTTTAAACCCCACTAAACTGTTCCCTCCTGACGGTTCAGTGAATGCCCCTGGGGTAGTGAGGAATGAATAAACATAAAGTCGTGTTTCCATGTCCACCGCATGCCAGCCTGGAAGCAAATGTCAGATCCGGAGGACCCAGAGGAGACCCAGCCCTCCAAATACCAAAGGGGGTCATCACGAGGGATGGGATTAAGAGTGGTTGTATTAGGCCGGGCAAGGTGGCTCGGGCCCTGGGAGGCAGAGGTGCGTGGATTGCCTGAGGCCAGCTGTTCAAGACCAGCCTGGCCAACATGGCGAAACCCCGTCTCTAAAACAAAACAAACAAAAAAAGAATGGTTGTATTTTTTTTCCCTGGACTCCTCTATGTTTTCTACAATATGTACAATAGGCATGCGTTACTTACGTCAAGCATGAGGTTATTTTGGCTGAAATAAACAGTTCCCATTTTAAGCTTGCCTCCAGTTTTCAGGTGGAGAAAAGATGGCTGGCCCTTTGAGGGTAAGGATATCGCAAAGATGCTCAGTAAGCGTCTGGGATACATTTCAGTCACGCACCAGCAGCGGGTAGGAGGAAGAGGCCTTTCTGAGAATGGTTCCCTTTCTTTTTTTTTTTTTTTTTTGAGACAGAACTGTTGCCAAGCTGGAGTGCAGTGGCGCAATCTTGGCTCACTGCAACCTACGACTCCCTCGTTCAAGCAATTCTCCTGCCTCAGCCTCTTGAGTAACTGGTACTACAGCTCACGCGCCACCATGCCCAGCTAATATTTTGTATTTTGTTGTTGTTGTTTGTTTAGTTGAGATGGAGTTTCACCATGGTTGGCCAGGATGGTCTCCATCGCATGACCTCGTGATCCACTGGCCTCAGCCTCCCCAAGTGCTGGGATTACAGGCGTGAGGCACTGACTCCAGCCAGGGGTTCCTTTTCTTTGTCTCTTTCTCTGTCTCCTGCCCCTGCCAGTGCCCCCGCCAGTGCCCCCGCCTCTAGTGTGGAAGCTCGCTGTGGACAAGGTCAGGCTGTCCGGTGCCGTTCCTTCCATCGCGGCAGGGTCTGTGACAGCCAGTCACCCCAGCATGGCTGGCAGGGTCGGCTTCTGCCTGGATGGCTGACATCTCCTTCCAGCTCTCGGTTCCGTTTCCGGGGGGACCAGGGATGGGGAAAAGCAGGCGGTGCAGCCTCCGGACCTGCAGACCCGCAGCAGAGAGTCGCTAGCTGTTTTGAGTCCCCGTGGGCCTCCATGGCCCTGGCCCTGAACACAGCAGGGCTGCCCCCTCCCTCTGACTTATTTCCGGTCACCTGGTTGGCAGGTCCCTTGGGGCAGAGCACAGGGTCCTCAGCTTTGCTCCTCGCTCTCCTCCCAGCTCCTGCCTCGCCTCTTTCTGGCAGCTGCTCAAGGTCAAGGAATAAACAGATAAACCCTTTCCCTGGAGCTGGCCACAGAGAGGACACCTCCAGCTAGAATTCAATTCTGAGTCAGGGCCAGGGCTCTCTCTTGCCTGTGAATGTGAAGACAGGAAGGAAATTTTTGCAGCCATAAAATCGGGGAAAATGTTTTGTAGACAGAGAAGAGGCCAAGCAGTTGGCTTTGGTTTAAGGCGCAAGTAGCAAACGGAACAGTCAGACCCAGGGAGGCAGGGCCTGCGGGGTGAACGCTAACATCCATGCAGCCAGAGAGAGACTTTCTTTTGCCTGAGGGGCAACTGGGTGTTGGACGTGGTGCTGAGGACATGGACTTGGTTCCCAGCTCACCGGGACCGGATGATATGGGGTCTGACCAGGCAGTTTGAGGACTTTTGTTGATTTGTTTGCTTTTCTTGAGATGGAGTTTCACTCTTGTTGCCCAGGCTGAAGTGCAATGGCATAATCTCGGCTCACTACAACCTCCGTCTCCAGGGTTCAAGTGATTCTCCTGCCTCAGCCTCCCTTGTAGCTGGTATTATAGGCATGCACCACCACACCCGGCTTATTTTCTATTTTTAGTAGAGACAGGTTTCTCTATGTTGGTCTGGCCGGTCTCGAACTCCTGACCTCAGGTGATCCACCTGCCTCAGCCTCCCAAGGTACTGGGATGACAGGCGTGAGCCACCGCGCCAGGCCTGACTTGGGATTCTTCTAGGCTGTTACCCAAGATGGCCCAGGGGCTGGAGCCAGGACTACCGCTTCAGAGATGTGGTGTGGACCACAAAAAATGGCTCTTGTGTCTTAGAGGAATGAACCTGGAGCTCCCCGAGGAGTGGACATGGGCCAGCCTAGGAAAGGTCATTCAGGCAGTGGCAGGACTTTAGGACTTTCTCCAGAGGGCAGCAGGAGGCACGACAGTGGGGAGGGCGAGGCCCAGATTATGTGTTAGAAAGACGCCTCTGACTGCACCATGTGTGTATCCTGGAGGCAGGAAGGGCCGTGAGAAGGCAGCTGCCATGTCCACCTGCGTTGGTGACCAGGCAGGGCGAGGATGGTGGCGAGTCTAGGTGTGCTGTGGGCAGGATCGTTAGGTGACTGGATGTGGTGGGGCACTGTGAAGAGAAGAAGGGGAGAAGGCCGACACACCCAGGACCCCTGAGAGGAGGAGGAGGAGGAGGAGGCTTTAGGGGGAGGTTTCACATTGTGTTTGTGTGTTGGTCGGTTGGTTTTTACAGACAGGTTCTCACTCAATTCCCCAGGCTGCTCTCAAACTCTTGGCCTCAAGCAGTCCTCCCACCTTAGCCTCCCAAAGTGCTGAGATGACGGGTATGAGTCACTGTGCCTGGGCATCTGTATTTTTTTCTCTTTTGAATATCTGGGGGCTCTCAGGTCAATGGGGCAGGACACTGGGACCCTCAGGTCCATGGGGCAGGACACTAAGAAGCATAAGGCACAGCCCTGCCCGAAGAAGCTGGACTCCACAGGCAGTGACACAGAGCCTGCTGGGTGGAGCTGCAGGCTTCAACCGTGAGCATGGGGGAGTTCAAAGCACTGGGGAGCCTGGGGGATGTGGCGCAGGCCTATTTGGAAGGGCTGGTGGTAAACAGCCAGAAGACAAGGACCTGGCCTTCTGGACCTTCCACATTCCCTCCTCGCATGGCCCTGTTCTGTGCCGGGCAGGTGGTCCCAGCTCCACCGCCTGGCCCTGCTGCCCACTGCAGCCTCAGTAGCCTCTCCTGTGCTCTGGTGGGCCACACCCTATGAAGTGAGGGCCAGAATTCGACTATGTGGTCCTCTAGAGGCCTCCTGGCCTCTGTTGGGAATATCTTCCCTTCTGCCCTAACCCAGCTGCCTCCAACTCATTCCCTGTCTCAGTGTAGGTTTCCTCCTCCTAGAAGCCTTTCCTAATCCCGAAACTGGGCTGGGTGCACCTCTCCTGTGCTGAAGAAATGTTCTTTGGATGAAAAGATGAAGGGATGGAGGGATTGAGGAATGGAGGGATGGAGGAATGAAGGGATAAAAGATGGGGGTGGAGGCGCAGGGATGGAAAGATGGAGGGATGGGGGATAGTGGAGGGTGGGGGATGGAGAGATGGAGGGATGGGGGATGGGGAATGGAGGAACAAAGGATGGGGGATGGGAAGATGGAAGGATGGAGGGATGCAGATGGGGATGGGGCTAGAGGCATGGGGGATGGAGGGATGGGAGATGAGAAGATGGAGGGATGGGGGATGGGGAATGGGGAATGGAGGCATGGGGGATGGAGGCATGGGTAATGACAAATGAGGGATGGAGGATGGGGAATGGAGGGATGGGGGATAGGAGGATGGAGAGATGGGAGATGGGGGATGGGAGATGAGAAGATAGAGGGATGGGGGATGGGGAATAGAGGCATGTGGGATGGAGGCACGGGTGATGACAAATGAGGGATGGGATGGGGAATGGAGGGATGAGGGATAGAAGGATGGAGCGTGGAGCGATGGGGGATGGGGGATGGGAGATAGAGGGATGGAGGGATCAGGGCATGAAGGATGGGGCATCGAGGTTGGGAGATGGAGGGGTAGGGGATGGGGATAGGTGAATGGGGGTTGAGGGATAGAAGACGGAAGGATGGGGACATACAGTGAATCAATTAATTAATGGATGGATGGACCGAGGATGATTGGAGATCTAGACAGACAGGAAGATGATGGACAGAAGGGCAGGCAGGCAGGCAGGTGGAAGTGTGGGGAAGGAGTAGACTGGAGAGAGGATAGGGCAGGTGGAGGGTGGTGGGTGGTGGAGGTGTTGGGTGGTGGAGGTGTTGGGTGGTGGTGGTGGGTGGAGGTGTTGGGTGGTGGAGGTGGTGGGCGGTGGAGGTTGTAGTTGGTGGAGGTGTTGGGTGGTGGAGGTGGTGGGTGGTGGAGGTGGTGGGTTAAGGAGGTGTTGGGTGGTGGAGGTGGTAGGTGGAGGTGGTGGGTGGTGGAGGTGGTGGGTGGAGGTAGTGGGTGTTGGGTGGTAGAGGTGGTGGGTGGAGGTAGTGGGTGTTGGGTGGTGGAGGTGGTGGGTGTCGGAGGTGGTGGGTGTCGGAGGTGGTGGGTGGAGGAGGTGGTGGGTGGTGGGTGGAGGATGTGGTGGGTGGTGGAGGTGTTGGGTGGTGGAGGTGTTGAGTGGAGGTGTTGGGTGTTGGAGGTGTTGGGTGTTGGGTGGTGGAGGTGGTGGGTGGAGGTGTTGGGTGGTGGAGGTGGTGGGAGGTGGAGGTGGTGAGTGGAGGTGGTGGGTGGTGGAGGTGGTGGGTGGAGGAGGTGTTGGGTGTTGGGTGGAGGTGTTGGGTGGTGGAGGTGGTGGATGGTGGAGGTGTTGGGTGGAGGTGTTGGGTGGTGGAGGTGTTGGGTGGTGGAAGAGGTGGGTGGTGGAAATGGTGGTTGGTGGAGGTGTTGGGTGGTGGAGGTGGTGGGTGGTGGAGGTGGTGGGTGGAGGTGTTGGGTGGTGGAGGTGTTGGGTGGTGGAGGTGGGTGGAGATGTTGGGTGGTGAAGGTGGTGGGTGGTGGAGATGTTGGGTGGTGGAGGTGTTAGGTGGAGGTGTTGGGTGGTGGAGGTGGTGGGTGGAGGTGTTGGGTGGTGCAGGTGTTGAGTGGAGGTGTTGAGTAGGTGAGGTGTTGGGTGGTGGAGGTGTTGGGTGGAGGTGTTGGGTGGTGGAGGTGGTGTGTGGAGGTGGTGGGTGGTGGAGGTGGTGGGTGGAGGTGTTGGGTGGTGGAGGTGGTGGTTGGAGGTGTTGGGTGGTGGAGGTGATGGGAGGTGGAGGTGTTGGGTGGTGGAGGTGGTGGGTGGTGGAGGTGATGGGTGGAGGTGTTGGGTGGTGGAGGTGTTGGGTGGAGGTGTTGGGTGGTGGAGGTGATGGGAGGTGGAGGTGTTGGGTGGTGGAGGTGTTGGGCGGTGGAGGTGGTGGGTGGAGGTGTTGGGTGGTGGAGGTTCTGGGTGGTGAAGGTGGTGGGTGGAGGTGTTGGGTGGTGGAGGTGTTGAGTGGAGGTGTTGGGTGGTGGAGGTGTTGGGTGTTGGGTGGTGGAGGTATTGGGTGGTGGAGGTGTTGGGTGGAGGTGTTGGGTGGTGGAGGTGGTGAGAGGTGGAAGTGTTGGGTGGAGGTGCTGGGTGTTGGAGGTGGTAGGTGGTGGAGGTGGTGGGTGGAGTTGTTGGGTGGTGGAGGTGTTGGGTGGTGGAGGTGTTGGGTGGTGGAGTTGGTGGGTGGTGGAGGTGGTGGGTGGAGGTGTTAGGTGGTGGAGGTGGTGGGTGGTGGAGGTGGTGGGTGGTGGAGGTGGTGGGTGGTGGAGGTGTTGGGTGGTGGAGGTGGTGGGTGGTGGAGGTGGTGGGTGGTGGAGGTGTTGTGTGGGGGAGGTGGTGGGGGGAGGTGTTGGGTGGTTGAGGTGTTGGGTGGAGTGGAGGTGTTGGGTGGAGTGGAGTTGGTAAGCAGTGGAGGTGGTTGGTGGCGGCGCTGGGTGGTTGAGGTGTTGGGTGGAGTGGAGCTGTTGGGTGGTGGAGGTGTTGGGTGGAGGTGGTGGGCTGTGGAGGTGGTTGGTGGTGGTGGAGCTGGGTGGTGGATGGGGTGGTTTGGGGAGGTGGTGTAGTTGGTGGGTTGGGGTGGTGGGGGAGGTGGTAGGTGGGGAAGATGGTGGGTTGGGGAGGTGGTGGGTGGTAGAAGTAGTGGGTAGGGGAGGTGGTAGGTGGGGGAGGTGATGGGGGGAGGTGGTAGGTGGTGGGAGGGGGTGGTGGGGGAGGTGGTGGGCGGTGGAGGCAGTGGGTGGAGGTGTTGGCTGGTGGAGGTGGTGGGCGGTGGGGGTGGTGGGTGGTGGGTGGTGGGCGGGGGAGGTGGTGGGTGGTGGGTGGTGGGCGGGGGAGGTGGTGGGTGGTGGGTGGTGGGCGGGGGAGGTGGTGGGTGGATGCAGGGAAAAGAGACCAGGTTTGCTCAGGCAGGGGGAGGTTGCCCTATATCACCATCCCTCACCGTGGATGGGCAGGATGAGTAGGAATCTTCCCTGACTCCTCTGACCTCTCAGCTTGCTCAGATCACACCCTACACTGGATGAGACCCAGCCCTTGGCACTGCAGCAGGAGACGTAACTGAAACCAGGAACCTCCCTCCATCTTGTCCCTTTCCCACAACTCTTCACCCGTGGTGCCTTTTTGCCGACTGGTCTGATTCCTGGCGGAACTTGGGGTTTGGGGATGAAAGAAGTTGAGGTCTCTTCTACACGTCCATTTTCTTCCTGCTTCCTTTCTCGCCTTCTGCTTCCTCCTCCTCCTCCCATGTCTTTCCAGCTAAGTGCAGGATACCCAGATGGCTTGGGCCAGGTGTAGCCAGCAACCAGCCACCCGAGTCCTGCTGCCTTCAGCCCCAGCCAGCCCAGCCAGTGCGGGTCCCTGCTGCCTGGTGCCCACCCCGCCTGCCCGCCCGGCAGCTCCGATTTTCAGCTTGGGTTTGATCGGCTGCCAGGATCTCCCAAATGTCAGCTGCACCGTTAGCATCTTTAAGAGAGTGCCCGAGGCGATCTTTAAGCTGGGAGGCTGGGGCCCGGTGCTGATGAGAGGAGCCTGCTCTGAGCTGACAGCGCTGCCTCCTGTCTCCCCAGCCTCAGCTCTGGGAGTCTGTGACCCCCACTCTTTGGATGGACAGCAGCAGGACTCTTTTTTTGAGCCTGGGTGAAGCAGGGCTTTGGCAGCTAAGATCAGTCCTTACAGCAGCCCCCACCAGGGATCCCCAAGAAGGAGGGGAGGAGCCTACCCCCTTGAGGGAGTGGATATGTATTTGTTAACTGAATGGCGGCATAAACCTCCGAAGCTGCCTGAGAGGCAAGTGCTGACGGCGCAGTCTGCCCTGCCATCACCTTCAGGGGGAGGTGCTCTGAGTGGGGCCCAGGGCAAAGGTACCAAACTCTGGAGTCAGACCGAGGGGCTTGGGCCAGTGTCCCAGATCCAGCATGTGGGAGCTGTGTGACCTTGGGGAAACTGCTGGCCCTCTCTGAGCCTCAGCTTTTCCATCAGTGAAATGTGCTAGGGGATAGAATGCCAGCTGTGTAGAGGTGTTGGGGAATCCAGTGAGATGGAGAGATGGGAACAGCTGCTACGTTGCAGACACATAGTAGGTACTCAGGGAAGCCAGTCCCTTCCTCTTCCTCCCTCCCTTCCCTCTCCTCCCCCAGGGCGGGCCCTCCTTCCTTCCTTCCTTCCTTCCTTCCTTCCTTCCTTCCTTCCTTCCTTCCTTCCTTCCTTCTACCTTCCTTCCTCCCTCCCTCCCTCCCTCCCTTCCTTCCTGATGGAGTCTTGCCTTGTCACCCAGCCTGGAGTGCATTGGCACAATCTCGACTCACTGCAACCTCCAGCTCCCGGGTTCAGGTGATTATCCTGCATCAGTCTCCCAAGTAGCTGGGACTACAGCCACATGCTACCATGCCCAGCTAATTTTTTGTATCTTTAGTAGAGACTGGGTTTCATTGTGTTGTCCAGACTGGTCTCGAACTACTGACCTCATGACCCACCCACCTCAGCCTCCCAAAGTGCTGGGATTACAGGTGTGAGCAGGGCTTTCTATTCACTTTCACTGAAGGGCTAAGGGGCTGTGACCTTCTCTAAAGCCTCCATGTTTCCCTTCCAACCCTCAGAAGGTCAGGATTGATGATTCTTACTTCTCTGTCGCCAGGCCCACACAGCGGGTGGAAAGCAGATGCTCAGCTTGTCCTGCTAGTGCCTGATTCTAGGATGGGTGGGTGTTGGTGCACATCGTGGCAGCTCAGGTGCCCATGGCGTGCTCCCCTGTGCCCTGATCATCGATGTCCCTTTGCAGGGTGGTGAGGCTCTGGGAGTGAGCTAGTGGCTTGTTCTTTTTCCACATGTTTGGGGCCTCTCTCTCATGACTGAAATACTCAGGTAGAGAAGTGAAGTGACTCAGGAAAGGAAGGAAGGAAAAGAACCCAGAGTTCAATTCCCATCCAAGCGGAGGTAAGGCGGGAAGAGGAGGGGCCTGAACCTCTTACGTGGGAGTTGCAGCCTTGGTGGGACCTGTCAGAACTGTTGTGCTAAGCCAGGGGTGGGAGTTGGTGACTTCCACAGGGACAGCATCCCCAGCCAACTCACAGAA